TTAACCATCAAAGCTCTTGCTGTGCAGCTCAGTGAGCTAATCCATGTCCACTCTACTACCCTCAGGACAGTCCTTGCTTGCAATTAAATAAGGTTGTTGAACATGGAAAGATTCCTTCTGGGGAGCATTTAAAAAACAGCCTGACTTTAAGGTGCCTGTCAAATGCTGGAGTAATGCAAATGTAACCTGAGTGCCTCGTCCCCTGGTTATGCAGTCTGGATTCTCAGCAGTCCCCTGGCCAAATGCCAGCCAGCACCACTCTGTAAGGCACAGAGGCTGGCACCAGGCAAGCAAGGGCAGCCAAAGGGGTTCTGCAGCACAGTTTGAATTTACAGGCAGTACTGTTAAAAAAGGAAGCACATTTTTTTAATTAACAAAATTATTTAGGAAGCTGTCTTTGCTACAAAACACTTTAATAGGCACAGTAATTACTTTAATATGCTTTTTATGGGTTTTTTTAACCAAACCTTAAATTTTCTAGTTCACTGAAAACAGAAGCCAACTTGGAAACACTGAAATCAATTCCTAGTGAACGATTAATGATAGAGACTGGTAAGATTTTGTATCTTGGTCAGTTTGTGACAATGGGCAATGAGATATACTGGTGTAGCAACCATAAAGCAGAATCAAGACCTAAGGAATTCAGAACAGTGGCTGTTTTCTTTACTTGAGAAAGCAGTTTACAGAACCACTCCTTTCCAGCCTTCTGCTGGAAGGAATAAGCTGCTGTGTCAGTTCCTGACATTGCAGGGGAAGATGAAAAGGACAAATTGACAACTTGGATTTTTGCACCAGCTTAAGTTTATTTTAAAATGTAGCTTGCTGGAGATGTGCCAAGCACAGGGCAATGGCTGTGAGTTAGCCACTGGCAGCAGTAATGGCATTTGGAAAGAACTGCTCTTTAAGTGGAATAGGTGGAAGAATGCTTGAATTCCCCTCTTAGCCCACTGAGCAGGGACTGACTGGGGATGTCATGTTCAGATATCAATAATTGACAGTACAAATACAGTATTTATTTTAATTTCTGACTCTTGAGAAAGGAAAATTGCAAACTGCTAAATCCTTAAATGTATTTGCACGTGAAGTACAGACCTGTTATACAGGAAGTTTCTGTGGAATGCATGCAATGTATCTGGCTGTCTTTATCATGTCAGAGGAAATTAGTGTTATGTATTATTATTGCTGATCTTTTCAAGTGTAAAATCCTGAAGATAGTTGTATAAAAATCCAGGATGTTAAATTGCTCTTAAATTTCCTTTTGAGCTGGAGGTTGTTGCTGGAAGGAGATTGCAGGAGCTTTTGTCAAACTATCTCATGCTGTTCTGAAACAATTGCACTCCTAATTCTTTTATTCAAATTCAACTAGATGCACCTTGGTGTGGAGTGAAAAATACTCATGCTGGATCAAAATACATTAAAACTACATTTCCTACAAAAAAGAAATGGGAAAAAGGGCACTGCTTGAAGGACAGAAATGAACCCTGCCATATAATGTAAGTGTACCACTGCACTCTTATTTTAAATACTTCAACTCTGACGTGAAAAAGATAGAAAAATCCCAGTTCACTAGTAACGTAGAAAATAGAAATTAATTCTAAATATACTGAAACTTGTGCAAGGTTTTGCTTTATAAGCTGTGGAAAAAATTAAAATCCTAATTTTCCTACTTTGGCTATTCTGGATGTATAATGCTCCCTGAAAATGAAACCAGTACCATTATTATTTTTTCACTTGATGCACTGTAGAAAGGTTAAACCCTCTGAAGTAAGCTGACTTGAATATTCATTGCACTTGGTTTTTGTTCAGGTAATTTTAAAAACTGATCCAGCCCTGGGGATCAGGGGACAGTCCCATAGGTGGGACAGTGCTGAGGCACCAGCAGTGCCTGTGACACTGCTGCTGTCACAGCCTGTGACACGAACTGCCACAGCAAGCATTTTGTCAGGGATGTTTCTTCCTTCTGCTGCTGTGCTTCAAACAATCCTGTGCAATTTAGATATGAATGACAGCAGCCAAGATACAGAGTAGTGAAAGAAAACTCCAGGGGTTTATGAACAGAATTGGTAAGCACAGACACTGTTTTCTGCCTCCTTTCCACACAGTTCCTCACAGAAGTGTGAAAAACAGAAAAATGTGTAATTGTTTTAGTGAAATGTTTAGCTATCTGCATTAAATACTATTAATGGATGAAATACTGAATTTTCAGAATTCCCTGTCTAGATTTTGAAATACTGCTCAGGATAATACTAAAGATCCAGGTATGCAGTTAAGGTGTCTAAACAAGAATTTATTTGAGAAGTGAAGGGAAATCTGATGCTTTTTGAGACATGAAGGAACTTAGAAAACCACTGATGTAAAAGCACAGTTTAAGCTTACATGGTGACCTCTCCTAGCGTTCAGATATAATCAATGCAATTAGGTCAATTGTAATACTTGTTAGTTTTTTTTTTTTTTTTAATTTTAAAAGTGAAGAAGACACATTAGCACAGAAAGATTTCTTCAGTATTTTAAGACTTTCTAGGGTCAGTCCATGACTTTGGAGTTTTGGAAGAGATCATAGAAAACACTCTTCTGATCACAAGTGAAGGGCCTCCACTGTTACTCTTCAACCAGCCCATGTCAACAACACCCCCACATATTTGTCTGCTGCCTTAGTTGTAGTTTACAGAAATGTTTCAGAAGCCCTCAAACTCAAAATGCACAATCTGTTCTGCATAGATGCAGAGTGCACAAATGCACTCAAGATCATTACACCAATGCTGTGCTTGGCTTTTGCCTTCTTTTATGAACAAAATACTGTTTGGCTCAACCTTTGAAATTATTATCCCAATAATGTTCATTATAAGCAATTGAATTTAAAGAACCTTTTAAGCCTTAAGAAAAATTAGGAATGGTAATTGATAATTGTTATTTTGTGACTTCTCAAGTAGCAAAATCTGGTGTGAGGGAATGTTACTCAGTCCACAAAGTGTCTTGCATGTTTCAGGTATATATACAGTTTAATACAGCTCAGTTGGCAGGAGGAAATTACCATTTGTCTGGTTTTGTTAGAGCTTTTTGGACACCTTTCAGTTTTGATAGTAATATTTCTGCTTCATATATATGTATTTAGAACTACTTCCCTTGGAAGCTATTTTTTAAAAAGTTTAGCCACAAGAGACTTCTCTTTTCTCCTTCAGCAGTTTCACATACACAGTGTTACAGTAACTTACAGCCTTCTACTACATCCAAGTGAGGAGAGATAAGTAAACCCTAAGTCTTCTTGGCTGAAATTCTTTGGTACTTGTTACTTATTTCTGTGTAGGCCTGATCTCACTCCATCTCACTGCTAATTCTGGATCTAGGAAAATATTTGCAATAATATAATTATTAAGAGCAACTTCTCCTATGCTGTCTTTCAAAAAAAGTTTAGCTAGTGCCTCAGCTTAGAGGCAGAATCCAAAGCCCACCAAACCTTACTACAAAGCTTAAGCTTCTTACTTTTCAATGAAGAGTTTAAAGTTTTTTTGCTGCTACTGGAAAAAATCAAAGTATGACACATGTCTGGAAGGGTACAGAATATTCCTTTTTTTTTTTTTTTTAAGAATGACTGATACAAGATCAAGAAAGCAATTGCAGAGAAACAGTTGTAGCTTGGTTTTAATCATGTTCATCTCATTTCTTTTGCCTCCTCTTCCTGGCTTGTATCAAGGCCCTGAGCCTTTTGAAATTGCTCAGAAATATTTACTTCAAATACCTGGCCACATTAATCACAATTAAGCTAAAGAATAGGGAAGTAGGAGTAAGTTACTTTGGCAGCACTGTGCTCTGATAAAGATGTGTCTGGGATTTAAGACTGCCCTTAGACCAGCCTACTCATAGTGCAGCTTTAGCCTTGACAGGCTAGTGAATTTTTGTTTGAAAAATGAAGATCATTGATAAAGACACCCACAAAATGACACTTCCTTCAAAACAGAAAGCGGTTTAATTACCTCCAAACAAGAGTCAAAAGACCAAAGATGAGTCTGTACCAGTAAGCAAACCAGTGTTCAGTGTAAAGAAAATGGCAGTTAGTAACTTAAGAGTGAAACTATTTGCATATCTGAGCACCCTGCCCTATTGCTCTTAATGTAGGTTTTTATTCCAGCTTAATCTCAGTGAGTTGTACATACACATGCAGCAATCTGAAGTACATTCTGAAGTACTGGGTTTCAGTCTTCTAATATAAATCTTTCTTTTTTAGTCAAATACTGGAAATAATGGCGGCAGTAAGAGAAGATGACCCACTTGAGTTGGCCAATACTCTATATAACAACACCATTAAAGTCTTCTTTCCAAATATCTAAAGTTGTTTTTCTTACATTTATTCAGCATAACTTCTGTAAAGATATTGCAAAAATTTAAAAATCATCATTCCTGCAAGTTCTAATCAATGGAAGCCAATGTGTAGTTGGTTTGGGGTTTTTTATGGTACAAGATTAAAGCTGCTTTGGAAAAGGTGGTCTGCATTTGTGCAGTTTCTCAGCCCTGCTCCCTTTTTGTCAAGACTCGGGATTGACTTCAAGGCCAGGCCATGCCTGTAACTCCAGCTAGCAGCGGAGGCACAGGATGAGCACCAGGCTGCAGCATTCACATGTGAAGCACTTCAAGCCCCTGCTGGCAGTTCAGGAGGGTCGGACACGTCCATGGCATGCGCTTTGCTGCTGCACCAGAAAGCTGAGCAGTGTCGCCTTTTGTTCCACATACGCAAATGCTATAGCATTAAGTCTACCAACCTACTGTTTTGTTTTTTTTTTAAACACGACTCACTAGTTTTTTGCAATAAAGCTCTGCTAATACTGAATTTTTAAGTAAAGCTGCTTTGGCTCAGGCTTTCATTTTCTGAGTTGACCAGCTGAACAGTCTATTTTCACCAGTATTTTTCATTTGCATCCAGAAGACATTGATTGGGGATTACTGGTATACAGTCTTTGGCACAGCATTATCACCACATCAATTAAAGAGTGTTTTGTCCAACCATCTTAAAAACGTGAAAACATTTTATTCCATGTACAATAATGTACATAATTTTAAGGTGGTCATGAAAGAGACCAGCAAAAATTAGAGGTATATTTACAGTAGCACACACCACAGTAAACAACCACCATTCACAGACTCAACATTGAGATACTGCTGTTGTGCTTAAGTACAATAACTACAAAGTGATACTTTTATTCTGTTGGAGTCAATCTTGAACAAATAGCTCACGGCTTAGTAAAGAACATCCTAATCACCAAGAGAGTTAGAGTCAACATTAAGAGTCTCATTCAAGTGCTGTGCCTCACAGTCGCCATCTTCCTCATCACTATCAGAACTGTCATTATCTTCATTTAATTCATTTTCAGCATCAGCAGCTTCTTCTGCAACCCGTACAGGATTTTCATTTGGCGCTACAAACCCGTTGTTGTTAGAGATATTGGCGTTTTCTTTGTCCTCAATATACACTTTCTGATGGCACATCGGGCACGTGTCCTGAATGTACAGCCACTTCCGAAGACAAAGTGCGTGGAAATAATGGTTGCATGGAGTAATGCGCGCAGAGGTGGTGAACTCGTGGTAGCAGATTGCACAGACGTCATCAATTTCCTGTAACCGAGCTCCTTTCACCTCTGGAAGCGAGTTGATTTTCTTCACAGCAGTGCGGCGGTTTATAAAAGTCTTCCAGCCATTCTTGGCTTGCAGGTAGATGTTGAAGTACGCGTGCAGACACATCATGCAAGCGCGAATCTTGCTTCCCGATTCAAAAACCATCGTGTAAGCTCCATTTCCAAACATGATTACTCCAAATATAAACTCAATAATATTGCCAGTTGAGCGAACATAATAGACATAATCATCAAGTTTTTCCCATAGCACATTATAGTAGCCATCAATCATAAACAATATATAAACAGTGATAGAAACTATTACTTTTAGGCAAAGCTCTACACAGAAAGCTGTGACTGCAAAAAGCCAAGTATTTAGTGCATAGTGGTGCCAGAGGATGTAACTGAGCAGAACTGGAAGAATGAAAAGGCAAGCGGAGACAAACAGTACAGGAAAGTGTCTGCGGAACGATGACACGTGGGAGGCACTGAGAGACATCAGCACGGGGTCTGTCATTCCATGGATAAAATGCAGGACTGCGGTCAACAAAAGGCACATGTTTCGACTCAGGCGAACTAATCGTTCCTCTGGTTTCAGCCCACTCAAACCAGTCTGCAGAGCCAAAATGAAAAACAAGACGGGGGCTACAAACCCAAGCCTTTTGTCATCCTCATCGGTTGACCCAATGAAGGCCAGGATACCGAGTCCCAAATAATGCGCTATCGAGGAAATGACGGCACTCATGCCCAACACAGTTAAAGTAGAGTCACACCCACTTATGATCAGGCTGCAGATCAGTTCCCAACAGTTATCCCACGATATCAAGAAGAATTTTTCTTCTGTGTTGTTTTCAGCCATCTTTACTACATAAGTTAATACCACAGCTTGTGCTGTAAGTCTTGTTAGCCAAAAGACACGGAGTACAGCTGGAAACCGAATCCTTTTCCATGTGTCTTCCATCAAGAGCTGTAATCCATAAATACGATACATGTGCCTCACCAGCAGATAAACGTATCGTACCGAATAATAGAACCACTTAATTTTTGTAGCTAAAATGGCTGTGGTATTTAGTGTCAGAACTAGGCCTGAAATAAAAACAAGTACTTGCCGGACATTTAAAGGTAATTCAACAACCAAGCCAATTACAGGAATCAGTATATCCAGGATGATGAGTTGAGAGTATATGGATTGCATGTTTAGCAAGGTAACATATCCAATTCCAAAGGTAAGCTGAAGGATGGAAAGTGCCATCCATAGCGAAGGTCCTTTATGTGGGAAAATCTGAATTCCGAACGCAGCTGTGTTGTAGGCACTGTAGAAGTTTATGTGCAAAGCAGCATAGTAATTCACCAACACTGAAGTTGCAGCCAGCAGAAACGCTGAGGTGATCATGTAGAACTTGAAAAGTGCTCGCTGTTGTAAGACCAGAACAACGCTGGATACAAAGACACCTAAAACCAGATTGAAATAATTTAGTTCTCAGTAGAAGTTTAACAACAGATTTTAACCTATTAGCTCTGGAGCTACATTTATTTAAAGTATCACTTCCCCATTAGTCACTTGTAACTTTGCATTACCAGTGGTGCCCTTTTCAGAGAACAAGCAAGAGGGCAAGTTAATCTCTGCATTTAACATCTGTGCACCTCACCTGTGATGCAAAGCCACTGCAAGCCCTAAATCACAATTACTATGAAGTTTGTTGCAGTTTTAGACTAGATTAGTGACAACTCCCAGCCTTTCAGCCTTAGTCCTGAAATCCAAGGATAGACAAGTTCTAAAAATAAACCAAAAAAACTCCAACAAATAAAGCATCACCTTTATAAAGAAAACTCATAAAAAAATAACTGAGTAAGATTTACTAAGTGTCCTAATTCACTTGAGCAAGGCACTCAACTACAGCTGTACATCATGGAGTACTAAAGATAAGTAACCAAAACACTTTAGTTAAACTCTTTAATGGGAAAATAGTGAAAAATTGCTGTACTTTGCTGTGGAGAAGGCACTTCTATTTCCCTTCAGTTTGCTTGTATTTCTGGTGAGTGGTGACAAAGGTCACATGAGGAACACTTTCCACAGTACACAGTTTCTGTGCACAGAATCCAAAACTGCACCAATTGCCTCTTTGCCAATGCCAGTGCAAACTTGTCTGTCTTGCTGTAAGTCAGATTTAGGCCTTGAAATTCCTGTTTGCTAACCGCTCCCTCATACTGACCATAACCACATCTTGACCGTGCCTGGCAAGTCTGCACCTTCCTATGAGAAATCCTATCAGAGCTACTGCAGCATTGGGAGTTTGGGGTTACAGGTCCCTGCAGTAAACTTCTGCAGTGTAATTTATGAATTCCATCACTGTGCACCACATAGGTAAGAGCTCTGCCCTCAGAGGTGTTAAATTAAAAAGCACTTAGCACTAGATAAATTTCCTTAAACAGTTTCTTTTTCAGGAAACACACTGCCTTTGTTTTGGACTTCTCAATCAGCTTCCACCCTATGCAACTGCTTTCTCATCGAAACCAGTTTGGAGAGATTTCTATCTCCACAACTTACATTTGATTCTAAGTTGCTTTCAATCTCAGCACTAAAACCAATGAAATCAAGAGTAATCCTCTTTCTGCTGGAGGGCAGCGTCAGTCTTTTCTGACAGTTTAGGCTGTTCTAAATCCACCATAAACAAGTGTTTCAAAAAAATTAAGCCATAGCCTCTTGATCATGAAAAAAAAACTTTTAAAATAGCATAAAAAAACTTTAAAAAAAACCCCAAAACCCAACAACCAAACACTCAAAAATATACCAAAAAAACCTCAAACCACCTTCAGATCCTGGAGGATTGAGAAGAAGGGAGAGGACCAACATGAATCACCTGCTAAAGGCAGGCTACAAATAAAGTTATGAATTTGCCTGAAAAATATTCCTTGCCAGTAGCACTGGCTGATATAAACACATTCTCCTTAATCAATCATTAACCTGGTTAACTGTGTGAAGTGGACTGAGGAAAAGCCTCTATCAGTTTTCATACAGCCCCTTGCATCGTAGCTCAGTTCTTCCAGGAAAAGCTGAATATTGCTTCCATGCAGCACTTTCTACAAAGTAAGCTTGACAGTTGTCTTGTCATTTTAACCACCACAAACATCTTTAGGAAAGCCAGTACTGCTGACGAGTTTGTAGCCTTTGTCTTTTCTCAGGAGTCACAGAAAAGGCTCACATGTCTGTGCAAGGTCATTATTTATGTAATTGTGATCATTTGAGCCAAAGGAGATGCATTTTGCAGTAAGCAGGCTGCTCTGAAACACGCCTTACCAAAACCTATTTTTGTGCCTTGCAGTGGCAGTAACAGGCCTGTATTTAGATACTGCAGGTCATCCTGAAACACTGACGTTTCACATGCAAGACACATCTCTAAAAACAGTACAGCAGTGAGTCAATAGAGCTTGTCCTACTGGTTCCTCTGAACAGGCACTAACAAAAGGCACAGCACGTCTCTGTTAATACATATAGGGAAAAGTCAAGGCTCACTGGAGACTCAAAAGACCCTAAGAGGTAACAGATCTCAGAAGGGACAGTGGGCACTCCTTTCCCCCATCTCCGTTTATGTCACTTAGTCCATCTCAACATGGGGAGACTTTGCCCTGCCCTGTGCCCTTCAAAACAGTAAGTGTTTTTCCATTTTCCCTCTGCTAGGAAATGCTGCAGTTCCTCCTTTGATAAGGTTTGTCTCTCTACTCATCTTTACTATTTCTACCTGTGCCACCCCATTGGCAACTGTCCCAGTATGGCCTCCAAAAACAGCACTGAACCAAACCACGCTGCACTTGCTTTTAAAAGAATTTCTTGTGTTACAATGAATGTCTCTGTCTCATTTTTTTTCCTTTAAATCCTGAAAATTGTTAGTATCTTCATAGCCACCCACCACTTAGGATTTGACTTTCAGTCATGTGCAGGGGACAATCACTTTTACACATCAGCACTTCGTTCATGTGGAACTGCCAAACTATTTTTCCCTAGCTCCAGTCATTCTATTTACTTCCACATCTTTCTGCAGACTCAAGTATTTATAGAACCCTTCTCAAAACTCAGTGTCCTCTGAGTTTTGACTGCTGTCTGAGGTGACAGTCACACACTCCTGGGGGTGGTGGCTCTGCTGAAATTGAGATACTTAAACCCAGTGCAAAGATACGAAAGGTAAACATTGCGTTGGGGACAAAGCAAGGTTAACCAAAAACAGGACAGGAAACATGCTCCAGCTGTGGAAGTTGGTTCTGTGCCATGCATAAGTCTATTTACTTGTGTAGAGTGATGGAAGAATCAGACCAAGGAATCCTGCTGCAAAACTTTGTAACACCCACACAGATCTGTATTAGCATTCCCGAAGAGCTGTACTCCCAGAATATTTCAGAACTGTTTAACATCACCTCCAAAAATCATCAATCTCTCCAGAGCTTCAGTCTTTGTGTCTGGTGGACAGATTGCCCATTTATCCTGTGCTGTTGTGCTACAGGGAAAGTTTGGATCAGTACTTCAAAGTCTGCAAATGGTAAGTAAAAGGACATTTTCCCATTGTTTAAATACAGAATGATCCAAAAGAACGAGATCACTTTCCTAATAGCAGCAAAAACCCAATCCTGTAATCCTTAAATTCAGATGAGAAAAAAACATGCAAAAGCACTCTGTTGTCTGAACCACATGGAAGGTGTTTAAGATCATCTTTAGGTGCCTACATTTAATCTTCAATTTTGGAACACCAAGATCCACAGACCCCTTTCCTAAATGTTCAAGGTAAGTTTCTTGGCATAAAACACTCCCAAAGCTTTTCTGCAGAAGGCAAAAATTACCCTCTTCTTCACCCAACCCCTTCCAGAAGAGTGCTCATATAAATGCAAACCTCAATCCCAGTACCACACGCTTGAGGGACATCAGTGAACTACATATCCACCTCTCCTTTACACAGGGGGGATTCATTTTGATGCTCTTCTTACAGCATCTGGATCATACGAGGAAGGGCTCCTAAAATTAAGTTGGTGGGGCACTGCAATGCAAATTTTTTTAAAAAGAATTATCTCTCTTGGCAACTCCATAAGTGTTGAACAAAAGGTGAAGAAAATGGGAAGCAGGGGGGAAGAGCCCCTGCTCCCCATCCCAGACACACCATACTCATGGCAGGCAGGCAAAGGAGGCAACTTAGGGCCTCCTCAGCATCACTTCTCATGTGAGCATGGACTTCCCCTGACATCCTTAACCAAAGCAATAATAATAAACATAAAACATATAATAAATGTAAAAAGTCAAAATAAAACACCTGCTGCGTTTTGTTACCTCCTTCCTTTGCTCTCCTCTCCTGCTGCCTTGCTATAGGTTATTGTTTAATTTTTCCCCCTCTACTCCTCGACTTGTGTGATGCAGTCACAACTCACTTCTCACTGTGCACATTTCCTTTAACCCCCTCTTCTCTGCTTCCTGCCCCAAAAGCTGTACTGCCTATTTCCTTCCTGTTTTTCTTCTACTATAAACGTCAAAGAAAATCCATCTCTCTCGGGCCTGCAAAAAAAACCCCAAATAAAACCGAAACAACTTGATTTGTGTTCTCCTTCCTGCCTCAGGGTCTCCAGCTCCAAACCGTGATCTGCAGCACAGCATCACCTGCACAGCAGCTCACTGAACGGGACTGCCACTGAACCGAGGCTATGTAAGAACCCAAGTTAACGACATTGGAAACAGTATCACCGAGTTATACCACTGACTTTCATCCATCATGGGAAGAAAAAAAAAAAGCTTGAAAATAACCATTGGCAAGTTTCAAGAGGCTTCTCTTTCCACTGTGAACCAAATTCCCGGCACTTCTGAACTGCTGTTGCTAAAATAAGGCTTTAACAGCGTATTTCAGGAAGACATCACGCTATCCAAAGGGTTTTTAAAAACCTCATGAAAACCCTATACCCACTGAGTCACATGTCTTCCGCCCTCAAAGCCCCCAGAGCGGGAGGGGGGGTCACAGCCCCGAGCCCTCGCCGGCTCCATGCACCGCTACGGGGGCAGGAGGAGGCGGAATGACCGGGGAGACAGATCGGGGGGGTGAACGGGGCCCGGAGCGGGCACGAGGGGCCGAGGTGATGATCCAGCCCGGGCGGCCGAGCAGGGGCTCGGCGGTGGCCGAGAGGAGCCGGTGGGGACGGGAATCGGGGCCGGGGGAAGGGGAGAGCCGGGCCGCAGCACGAACAGCAGCAGCCAGGCGCGGGTGAGGGGCGGGGAGCAGCGGCGGCCGCGCCGTGCCCGCGGTGCGAGCGGGGCCGCCGGGGCACGGTCCGTGTCTCTCGGGAGGGGAGGAAGGGAAGGCGTCTCACCCAGCAGCCGCAGCAGCGCGCCCAGCAGCGCGGCGCTCACGGAGCCGCCCGGCAGCGGGGCCGAGTTGAAGATGGCGTCGATGAGGAACAGGCTCGGCACCCGCAGCGCGACCTCCAGCCCGGCCCGCAGCCGCGGGCCCAGCCGCAGCTGGGGCAGCCGCGGAGGGCCCGGGGCCGCCATGCCCTGCGCGGGGGGGCAGGCGGGCCGCCTCTCTCCGCCGGTGGAGGAGCGGAGGGGGCGGGAGCGAAGGAAGGGAGGGAGGGAGGGCGGCCGGGAGCCGCTACCGCCCCGCGCCCGCCGCCCGGCGCGCCCGGCTCTCCCGCGCCGCCGCCTCCATGTTCCTGCGCGCGCCCGCGGCAGCGCCGCCCGCCGGCTCGGGGGCGGGGCCGCGCCGAGGGGGCGCATGCGCAGCCCCGCCCCGGGACTGCCGGGGTCGGTTGGGTCGGGGAAGGGCGCGGAGCCGCCGGGGCCGGGTCGTGACCCCGCAGCGCTCTCAGGGCCGCCCCCGGGCTTTCCTCAAACACCTCCAGGGACTGTGATCCCGCCGCTTCCCGGGGCAGCCCATTCCAGCGACTGATCAGCCTTCTCTGAAAAACTTCCTGATGTCCAACCTAAACTTCCCCTAGCGCGGCTTAAGGCCATTTCCTCTCAGCCTGTCGGTGCTTTCGTGGGAGAAAAAACCGACCCGCACCCGGCTAAAGCCTCCTTTCAGGGAGTTGTAGAAAGCTGTAAGATCCCCCTTGGATCTCCTTTTCTCCAGGCTGAACGTCCCAGCAACCTCAGCTGCTCCTGGTGCTCAGGCCCCTTCCCCAGCTCTGCTGCCCCTCTCTGGCCACGCTCCAGCTCTTCAATGTCCTTCTGTAACTGAGGGCCCAGAGCTGGCCCCAGCACCGGACGGACACAGCTGGGGGGGCTGTGACCGCAGCACGGGGTGCCAAGGGACAGTCCCTGCCCGGGTCCTGCTGCTCACGCTGTTCTCATGCAATCCCCGGTGCCGCGGGTCTCCTTGCCCCTGAGGGCACGCCCTGGCTCAAATGACGGCAGGGCAGCGGGCCTGCTCCCATGAGCGCTTCGGCCCCTTGTGTCCCTAAAGTGCCCCTGAAGCCCAGCCTCGGCAGGAATCCCCTGCCAGCCGTAAAGAGGCGGGTTCGTGCTGCAGCCCCTCGGGAGGGGTCAGCCCCGTGTCCCCACCCCGCAGCGCTTCTCACGGCCGCAGTTTTGCCCCGCGCTGTCCGGGAATGTTGGAGTGCTCGGTACCGTCCAGGGCTGACAGGGAGCTGTACAGCCTGATTAAATGGGCTTTAGTCAGAATTCCCCTTTCTCTTGAGTCGGATGCACAAGACCTGTCTTAGCCAATGCATAACCATAGAGAGGGATCAGAGGAAGAAAGGCATTTTCCTTTCAAATCCTCTCTCCTTTCTCATGCATTTTCACAGAAGCCACAGATACAAGGGCAATTGGGAACTTCAAGCTGCCTTGATTTTTCATCAAGAGCTGTAGTGATAGGACAAGGAGTAAAGGGTACGAATTAAAAGAGGAAAAATTTGGGGTAAACATAAAGAAGAAATTTTCTGCTGTGAGGATGGTGAGACATTGGAACAGGTTCCTTAGGGAGGGTGTGGCTGCCCCAACCCTGTCAGTGTTCAGAGCCCGATTGGATGGGGCTCTGAGCAACCTGGTCTAGAGGCAGGTGTCCCTACCAGGCTGGGACTAGATGATCTTTAAGGTCCGTTCCAACCCGCTAACATTCTGTGATTGTACCATTTTTACTAAATAAAGAAATTATTACTAAATTGAAAGCAATGTGTAACAATGTTAGCCCATCTGAAACTGGGACATTTCCCACCCCATCCCTTGTGGGAATTGAAAGTTCCAGGACACAACTGAGATGAGCTTGTGAGCCTGTTGGCATCTGCCACGCTGCAATTTCCCAGCAGTGTCTGCCTGCTGCTTCACCTGCTGGGGCTCAGCCTTTGCACGAACCTCATTTGTCCATGGCTTAAGCCCTTGGAAGCCTTTCTATTGTTTCCAAAGGGGTTTGGATCAGACCACAACAGTATTGCACAGGAATTTTCCTAAGCAATGCCCCAGCTAACAAAGCCAGAAATGTTGCCAGATTGCTAAAGGATTGTATTACAAAATCCATGGACGTGGACAAAGTGCAAGTTTTAATCACATACTGAGAGGCATTACTCTGACCTAGTAAGTCTCCCCACAGCAAATAATAGAGGTCAGGGTTTAAAATGTGAAAACGTTTGAAGACAGCTGAATCACAGTGATTTGGACTTGCCTGAATCATTTTGCTTCTCAATTAAGTATAAAGCTGCTGAATGTAAATAACAGTATTTGATTTGAAATTAAAACCAATGTTTTAATTTCAAATCAAGCACATTAGAGTACTTGATAAATCCCAGTAATATATATGAAGATATTAATTTCAAGAAATGAACAACTCAAAGCACTATTTATGGAAATGAAATTACCTGACTTCCCAAAGACCTTTCAATTTCATTTAATATTCTCCTCTGTAAAGAGTATCTTAAATCTATTTTTGCAATACAGGCTTCAGGATCAGAGGTGATGCTGTAGTACATATTTATATTGCTTTAAGGACACGTGGATTAAATGGAACCCATTAATGGATTTTCAAGTTTAAATACAATCATTTACTGGTATATTTTACAGATGTTATTTGGGCATGTAAGTGCAGTCATGGGTGTCTGCAAATTACTTTGTGCATGAACACTTCCAGGTTGTATACATTCCAGAAATCCTAATGTTAGTAAGGATCATCACATCAAATGAGTATGTTTTACACAAATTTTTCAGAAAACCTATTTCTGTTAGGACACCTACTTTTGATTTCAGTTCAATTAAAAAAAGGTAAATCTAAACTGGATTTTCAGGCACATGGATGCAGGATGATGACATCTGCTGGATATATTTCATTTTGCAATTTGCACCACCTAGCTTTAACTAGAATAATAAACCAAATTCAGCATGGTTACACAAGCACACCTCTGCTGAAATCACTTCAGTCATACACACAAGTGCAGGAAAATTTGGCATATAATTTTGAGAGTTAAATCCAGTCTCAACTTCTGTGTACATTTGGGAGTTAAATACTATTCCCGGTATATTTCTATTAATGCATCAAAAAAAGTTTCCCTGGTTGAGGAATTCTTCAATTTCTCATTGATAAATAACATACAAATTAAGAAGAAAGCTGCTTCATTTGTCTGTATAGATGCATTGTTGAGGGGAAATAGCTGGCTCAGGATGAAGGTTGTTCCCTGGAGTGTCACTAGGACTGGGTGTACCTGCCCTGGCTGGGTGTCAGGTGTCAGGCCCACACCCAGGACACAGCAGCACAAAAGAACAAGCCCTAGGGAGCTGTTTCATAATAAATAAGAATGTAATATTCAAAAATAGTTTCAGAATAACTTAATACACCTCATGTACGAGGCTGAGTCAGACAGATGCAGATCAGTCTATTTCAATAACAAGTCACTGGAATTCTTTGATGTTCTTTACAGTATGTGGCAGAAGGTTGGGGTTTACTCTGTCATGTAAAAATGATTGTTGAGGTATTTTTGATAGTTTGGAGTGGTCTAAGTTAATACAATTCTTTTCAAAAACTTAGCTTTTTTTTTCATCTGAGATTTTTAGAACAAGAGGAACTGCATAAATGTAAATTATCAGCTGTATAAGTCACATGCCTTGAATTAACTGGACATAAGAGAATTTTTATTATCTTCTGGAATGGTAGAACAGCCTATTTTCTATGTCAGTCTGCTGAGACCTTGCTTAGGGGCTGTGCCTGTATAATATGACGAAATCTAAACCCACTTTTTAGCAAAACAACTTTAGATTTCTTGAAACTGCCCCATTTGCTTGAATGCTCTCATGATCCCTTTGAGCCAAAGGCTTTATTGGATTAATGCAAGTGCTCACATCGGATAGTGAAAAATCACATGGTCTTGCAAAAATCACATTTTCATAATTAAAAAGAATAAAAATGCAGGGAGGGTTTTAAGAGGATTAGCTTTTTTTTTTTTCCCTAATGACATGATCCTAAAAAACTAAATGCACATAATACCTTTGCCTTGAAACACCCTGTGTAAATTTAGCCTGATTCAGTAACAGTAATTTTTGTAAGAATGAAAACAGTTGTCTCCCAAGAAAAACAGTGCAAATGCACATGTCAACTGTGTTTTAGTTTGCAATATATGTAGCAAAAAATCCATAAACTATTCCCAAATTTCATTTCTCCTTTCCAGAGACCTTTTGCAGTGGATTCTCTGATATTGTATTGCATTCCTCGTATAAGAATAAAGCTCTGTGCAATCTATCTTTCTTTTTGTTGTTTTTCATTACGATCACTAAGGATATCTGTATTTTGGACTGAAACAAAAACCAAAAGCTCATGAAAGGAACCTAAGGTGGATTTTCTTCTCCTAGGATGATCTTATTGCATTAAATAGACTGATCTGCATTTTAAAAAAGCCAAATATCAATGTTTTATTAATGTGGGCTTTGGTGGTGGACTGAGCTGCAGCTGTGCCTTGGTGAGCAGCTCTGTGGCTCCTGCAGAGCACAGCCCGTGCCCCAGCTCTGCCTGGTGCTGTTGGTGTGAGCTCTGCTGGGACAGCACAGTGCCCACAGGCACAAAGATGCACAGCTCTCCCACATCTCTGGTGCTCAGACCTGCATATGGGGCACTGCCAATGCAGTAATGGCAAAATATTGAAAGATGAGTGAACATATTGCTGCCTAAAGTTCAATAGAAATTATTTACACTCATATGAGTATTTTTAATATTGTTATTAACGACACCACCAGTCTTCACCCAGGAGTAGTTTATATCTGCGTCTTCTTCTGAAGAGAAAAAAGCAAATCAAAGTAATATTTTAAAAGCTAAGATAAAACCTGTAAATATAGATATTAATATTGATATTGATATTGATATTGATAAGATAGGGATCTTCTGAACATATTAAGAATTTCCCTACAAAAATCCATGTGGTTAAGATTAGTTATTAAGTTTAGGTTTTAGTCCTTCTCTACAGCTAAATGCCATGGGCTTAGATAGCATGTCTTAAAAGATGCTAACAAAGCAGAAAGAGATTTACTTATAGTTAACATGTAGCAAACCAAATTGTAATAACTTGTTCGTGTGA